ATATATTTCTTTTCATTCAATTTAAGGACTATCACGTCATTATTGTGGTGCACTCTTGTGATAGGTATGTAGTTTATGATTTGGATTCTACTCTTGATTTTCCGGAAGATTTTTCAACTTATTATAGCAAAACATTTCGGGCTGATTCGATTATTCCCATCCGTCTTAAACAGTAAGTGTGATGGCTTGAACTGTGTATTCCAGTATTTTTCAGAAATATCCTACACGGAAATTTTGCTCATTGCCTAGTTTTAAATAGTTTTCCTCATTCTCAATTTAAAATAAGCTTGTAGACTTATCGCGGCCAAATTTACATCATTTAAATATATTTCCCAAAACGATGATGCACTCTAATTTATGATTATGTAAATTATCATGTCTACTATGACAGTGCATGGCTGGGTCCTCTTTCCCTATCTACTTAGCCAAGACGAGATCAAACTAAAATTATGCAACTGGGAAAGACTGTTACGAGACCCAACACCACACCATATTGCTCTTTACAATTTAATCTAGATTTTTAATTAAATGTAAAAGCACCCATCCCTTCGTGTTTATTGTCGAAATATTCCCATTATTGTTCCAGTACTTAGCAGTAAAATTAGTGTCTATAAACCTATTCCATTCTATTATATTTATATTCAAACGCGGCTGTACGAGTCCTCTATTTTTCTTCAAAACTATTCATAAGATATGGTTGACTACTTACTACCCGGCTGACTAATGAGGATATGAAAAAATTGAGTTTATGAATTAGATAAATGTGAATAATTTTCTGTGCGTGTTTCCTGCAATTTTCGTAGTTGGGCAGGAGGATAGGTAATATGTGACTAAATTGAGCACTAAGAGGTAAGAAACTGTCCTGCCACTCATCATCCAACACATCTAATTCCATTTTCTTTTACCTTAAACTCTTATTCTATAAAGCACTCTTAGAATCGTATTTTCCTTTTATTTGTGCGATTTAGATTCTTCCGTATCATCCCCTTCAGAGTATATCTCTCATACTTTTCCAGTGACAGACGTCACATGCGTCGCCGAAGTACTCAGGGTCCTATTCTGCCACTCTCGAGTGCTGTGCCTTGTCATACTTTAGGCTCCGAAGATCATCAAGGTTACCTTAATCACCATCGCATATCCCAGATTCCCATTCCTATTGGGGTCCCAATACCGAACGCCGAATTAACCAATGATGACTGGCTGTCTCCCCCGCCTACCTGGTCCTGTATTCGAGGGCCCCAGGCCCCCAATGAGCACACTCTAACCTCCTACTGGTGCATGCTGCCAGTATCTTCCTTGATGTCTCCGCCAAAAGATCTAATGCATGCCTTGGATGCAGCCGGTCCTCTAGGCCTCGTTTTGACGGCAGAGGACTTTGGAAGAGCATTCCTTTGAATAACATTTTGAATGCTTGTTAGTGTTTGACTAATTGCAATCATTGATTTATACTGTACTATCTAGATTCCTTATTTTTGATAACGATGCCATCCCCATTTTCACAATATTTTGGCCCATCATCTTGCCGTCTGCTTCAAATCCATCTAAATTAAATAATTGTTAACTTATGGCCTCGTATAAATATCTTTCGTTTATTAGGTGCCATGCAAGCAATAAGCGCTGTGAAGAGTGCGCATGCAAAAATAACTCAAATTGATCAACTTCATATCTTAAACAAAATCAAATACATGAGTTTATCCCATCTTTTTATTTTCTTTGGCGTTAAGCTAGGATGACTATCTATTGTATATGAGCCCGAAAGTTTGCTTGCAAATCTTATTGAAATTATAATCTGCCCATATCTCTATAGTCATAATTGGAACACTGAAATCTGTGGCAATATGCATTCTGTTTATTAGGGAATAATAGCCAGTTTGGAGAGTCAAAATGTCTTTGAATAGTCTTTCTGATAGGTAGCAGTCCTCCAAAAATACAATATTGGTGACGGGGAAAATTATCTTTGAGGAATTTGTCGTTATATATCTCTTCAATTCTTAAAGCCACCCTTTTTCAATAGAGATTTATAAGAGCATAAACAAGAGGGAACCGTGGCGTCCCACTGAGTTGTGTCATTCTTTGTAGAGTAGTCGAGTCTTATTGTATATTTACTTTTGATTAGAGTCCTTGACTTTCCTATTTCTTTTTAAGAATATATCAACAGATGTGAGTTGGTGAATCAACAAAGTAAAAATGGATTTTGTTCCGAAGGCAAACCCATCTCTATGATCAAATGCGGAGAAACTTTGCAGCTAAGTCCCCTATGATAGGCTGATTAATTTCTATTTTCCTAAACTAAACCAATTCTACATATTCCTTTAAACTCAATTTAGTAGAGAATAACATGAATTGGTGGCTTCCGATTCCAGACCTCACATGTAGTTACCCTCACATTGATTCGACCTCTTCTTGGACAATTACCCTATTTACGATCGTATGGTCTATTGGAAGCTAAATTAGAATTGTCTTAACCTTTTTACATGACGAGAGTAGAGTTTACTCTACCCCACCCGTAGTTGATATGACCCTTTACGAATTTGTCATTCATGCTTTGCTTAATATTCATCTATATACAGAGAAAGCATTTGTTATTCCCATTACTATTTATATCGAAGATATGAGGGCCAAGTTGGTGACCCTCGGTATGGTCGTAGTCTCATTTCGATGTTTAAAAGTGAGTTGACCTCGTTTTCACAAGAGTCCAACTAAGTCACCCTGACAACAAGACTCGGTCTTGAGGTCAATCCACTTTTATTATTATGTATACTTCCCGCCGACTGCATTATTTTTTTCAGTAAAATTTGAAGGAATTCGATGAGTCGGCTCCTGGCTAAAATGTGACTTCAAATTTAATCAGTTGTCAGTGCCTGGAAAAGACGGTTTTGAAGCTTTCTATTTTAAAGAATTCACATACGAATCGAATAAACCCTTTCCTGACAAATGTTTACATCTATGATCTGTAATAGATGCGTGACTTTCTTTGCTATGTTAAAATCTATTTAATTGTGTAACCATTTTCACTTAACAATTCAACTTAAATCACTTTCGCGCATACCCGATATGAGAGTAGTTTTGTCTTTTGATCCATTAAATTTTATTGGCTTCCCTTCGGCTGATCGATGTGGCTTAATGAGTTGTTATCCTGTTTGCCTGCCAGCCAGCTGAGTTCTACTCAT